AAAAAAAATGAAAGGAATAAAGAGTTTTTTTCAGTTTAACCTCAAAACAAAATTCAAATATTTCACCCCTGCCTTCACTCGTTACCCTGTGGAGAACTGACGTACTGAATCGTTCACTGAGTAACGAGTGTCTTTTTGTCCTGTTAGGAGTCAGCTTTGACTCGTCTGACGTGACGTGGTTTCTTCTTCTTCAGTCCTTTCTTTTTATCCATCTTCTTCCTTGGATCAGCTGTTTCTCCTCTAAAGGAGCTTGATTCTTTTTTGGCAGGTCTCTGTCGGCCTCCACTGAAGGAACCGCGTCCAGGCCCGGTGCCCCGCCCTCCTGCTGTCTTAAGACCAGTGTGTTTGGCTGGAGATCTGCCAGGCGTTCTTGTGGTTCCCTTGCTATTTTCTGTTTTCTTCTGCTTGTCTGTCTTCATCGACCTCTTCACACGGATTGACCGACCTTCCAGCTTTGAACCGTCCAATTCCAACGCCAGCTGAACAGAGTCAGCACTCTGCAAAAATACATCAAAACCAAATGTATAGATACTCATGGTAGAGTTAGCTTAGAGTTAGCTACCACCATTGTATTTTCCCTGATTCATTCTTTTGTTCATCACTGTCAGGTTGAGGGCTACACTTGTATAATTACAATTACTGAAGAAAAAAGGCACATGTGAGTCAGAGTACCTCGAACAGGATGTAGCCAAATCCCTTCCCCAGCCCAGAATTGGGGTCTCGAATCAGTCTCACTGCCTCCACTGACCCGCACTCCTCAAAATGTCGCCGAAACACCAGCTCGTTTATCTCTGAACCAAAACAAAACCAACGGCCATCGTTACCAGGACTGAGTGTTTGATTGTGGCGGTCTAGTTTGAAACCTAAAGACGTCAACTGACACTCACCGAAAGACAAGTTCCCCACGAAGACGGAGCGTTTGTGGTCGTGCTGTGAGGTGACAAGGAGGAAGGAGACAGTTTTCTTTTACTGGTTCAGGTCAGTGACTCACAGAGTGATGTAAGAAACAGGTCAACATTGATGGATGAATATAACTATTAAATTATATGTAATGGAAAATGTTCAATTAAATACAGTATAATATGATATGATGGATCAATCTTACTGATGAACTGTCAGTCACTCGGTCGACTCTGATGTAAAAATCTTTCTGGATCTCCACGCCGTTCCTGCAGGAACACACAACTCATTTATTTTCACATTATTTTAGCATAAATCTGGGTTGACTGGGATGGTCGAACCTTTCCAAAGCTCCGGTCACTCCTTCCTCATCTTTGAAAACCATGTAGGCGTTGAGGCTTTGTTTCTTTGGATGAATCTGACGTCTGGCAAAGACAAAGTTGTTAAAAGAACTGTTTTCTTGTCTTAGAATAAATAAAACCAACACCTAAACTGGTGCATAGTCACTAAGTTCTTCCATATCTAAAGTGATTTCAGTAAATGAAATGCTCCATTTAAGGTTTTAGTCAGGGACACACACTAGCCACACGAGGCAGCAGGGAACCATTAACTCTTAATCATGAGTAAACAGTGTTAACCACATATCTCTAATGGCGCCTCCTATGGTGGATTCACGCTGTAAATTTCCCCATTGTGGGGCAAATGAGGGACTCAAGTATCACTTATTATTATAAGAAAAGAAGAAGAAATCGTACTTGATAGCGGCGACTTTACGTGTTACAGACGGATCCTCTCTGACCTGTGGATGCCACAGAACAAAATGTTATTAATTTCACATGAATCCCAAATAAACCTGTCAAAAAATAAAAAAATAAAAATAAAAAAAAGAAGCTACTCCATATAAATGTACACAAAAAAGCTCACTGACTGTTACGCTCTCTGTAAACTTAAGGTTTCCCAATTCATACATGTTGAATCTCTGTGTGTTTGTGTTTTTACCACAGAGCGAAAGCGGATGGACTCAATGGATCCTTTATCTTTGAAGAACATCCACAGCATCTGTAAAAAACACATGAACTTAGTTCAACTTCTCACTGTTTGTACAATGTCACGTACACATGATAATACTCGGATTAAATGTTTTTGTATGTAATTAAATATGACATGTAATCAAACTTATCTAAATAACTAACTACTCCTCCCCAGGTCTGTACCTTCTTGGTGCAACTGACAGGCAGGTTTCCCACAAACACCGTCCTCTTCTTCTTCTCCTCCTCCTCCTTTTTGGTGGCCTTCAGCCTCTGTCTCTTCTCCACCCAGTACTCTGCAGCACTCTTTATGTCTGATTCAGACGCCGTTCTTTTCTTCTTCTTCTTCTTTATGGCCGTCTCCTGTTCATTCTCTTCTTCGTCTGCCTCCTGAAGACCGCCCTCTCTGAGGACAGCCCAGAAGAAGAACTGTTACTCCCAAGATTTTTCTGCAGCCGTTGGAAAACTGAGAGACAGTCTGTTGCAACCTGCAGCCGTTGGAAAACTGAGAGACAGACTGAGCAAAAACACATCCTTCTTACCTTTTCTCCAGCTTCTTCTCAGCCGCCGACTTCTCTTTTGGCTGCGTCTTTTTCTTCTTCGTCTGACCTGGTTGATCTTTGACGTTTGGAGTTCCGTCTCCCTGCTCCTTCTTCTCTACGCTGCATTGGACAGGCTGAAGCAACAACACATAAGTGGAATGTTTAAAAAAAACGTTTAACACATAGTCATGTTGACACTGTTGAAGTTTTATTTTTCACTGATTTTATTTATTTTTTTTACCTTGGGAGCAGGCTGAAACAGCAGAGTTGAAGCCGGAGAAGCAGAGGTGAAAAGAGCAGCCAGTGATCCAGAAGAAGAATTCTGAAACAAACTCCCTGACACTTGTCCAACAACATAGTCAGCCGGTGGCTCATCTGAGGACACCTGTCCACTGAGGAGACAGACAGGAAGTCAATCAATAAAAGGTAGATAAAAAATAATATTGAATGGACACAAACAAAGATATTGAAAGAAAAACATGTTAGAGCTGATTGTGTCAAATGGCTGCTATTTCCAGAGCATTTGAGTGAAGATGAATATTTTATAAATCAAGTTAAGCAGGCACAAAATAAATCTAATACTGTAGACAAAGACAGTGGTTGTGCAACAGCTTTTCTGTGCTTAAAAAGGCACTCGTTTCTGTATGAACTTCTAAAGGCCGAGGTGGTAGTCAACAAACTTCACTTTCCTGGTGAGATCTAGTGGCTCTACGTCAGTCTGTTACATCAAATCGTTTTTTAAATGTAAAAATATTAAACTTATATTTTACTCTTAACATAAAAATTGCTGAAGGTTGTTTCCCGTCTCAAAGTTAAGTGCATGTAAACAAACCTGAGCTGCTGTTTCTTTTTCTTCATAATGTATTTTTATTATTTCCTCGTGTCGGTTCTGTTTTTTTAAACTGACAGAAAAAAGACAACTAATTTAATGTATTATTGTCGTTCGATGCTGCAAAGTTTTTTCTCTCCGATTTAGTCTGAAGCTACATTCTCCTGAAACGCACGTTCTCACACCAGATACACATCCGTGTAACCGTCATCGAAATCCGACGGGAACCAGGTTCAAGGCGACGCAACGGTTCCCCGTGTAGATTTTATAAAGATCTATCTATTTACAATAAATATCGCCTTTAAAGTTAGAGAACTGTCTTGAAATGTACACCAATTTGATAAAAAACGTTTCACACTGGCTGAAATGATGCTATTATTATTTTGTTTTAATATGGTATCTGTTTGTCTTTGTTTAATGTTTATTGCTTTTACTTTGAAAGTATTTTTACGGAAAAAGGTCCGACGGCATCATCGGTATTTTCCGGTCAGGCCAATGTTTATCATCGTCTGAAACCAGTTGAAGTCTTCATTTCAAATCCCCAAACGTGAGTTTTCCCATTTGTAACATTGAATTGCTGACATAAATTCTACATATGAGACTTATATATATATTTAAATCCTTCCAACTCACACTACGTCACAGTTGTCAGCTTCGTATATAACGTTTTGCAAAGAGTCCTTAATCTCTGTATCATGTCTATGAAGATTCTGTTTATTTGTATGTACAGTGTTAATGTAACTTTATCAGTTGTTATTCCACTTTAAAACACCCTGATTTCTCTTCGAATTTTACGTTGTCAAAGCGCTCGATTAGATAAAAAAAAAAAATTATTTTACGTTGTCAAAGCGCTCGATTAGAGCAAAAAAAAAAAAAATTTAAATTCTTGGAATTAAAATCACATCACTATACATAAGTATCTACAAAACGTCTCTCGGAAGCAAAAATAAAAATAAACTGAGCAAAAATAGTTTACTCTTGTGCCTCTTTCTTTCTTTCTTTGCAATCAGCATCTCTTGTTTACTTTGTTGCCTGTCTGTGGCCATTTATATATAGCTTGTATTTGTCACCATCAAGGGATTGAAAGCACACGAGGAAGGAAGGGGTTCTGGTCGTCTCACTTTGATCATGGATATTGAAGTTTAAACAGTGTGGTTGGCTCATCATATCTGTCATTCTCTCTCTCTCTCTGTCTGTCTCTCTCTTTGCCAGTTTGTCTCTCTCTCTCTCTCTCTCTCTGTCTCTGATGGGGGTAGGGCATCCTGATCCTGAAGTTCCCACTGACGCCGTGGGCCGCAGAGTCCTCTGTGGTGCTGACCGGGCCACAGTGCGCTATGTGGGCCCAGTTCCACCCACAACAGGTCAGATCTGTTTACCCCGAGGGGTAGCTCTTTGTAGTTACTGTGGTTTTGTTAGAAAAGGTGAGATCTGAGTAGCAAAAAACAGGCTGTACTAATGGGAAACCAAAGCTAGTTTTATTCCAAGGATTTTTACATTGGTAATTCCAGCTATTTCTGGTTATTTTTTAATTACAATTACTCTCAGGTTTCAGCTATTTTGGTAAACATCTACATCGAATGTTTTGTTATGTTTAGGGAAATTTTAGAATATACGTCTCACACTTATTTTATTACACTGACACTGACTGGGATGTCTTTTGGTTTAGGTCTGTGGTTGGGTGTGGAGTGGGATGAACCTGACAGAGGCAAACATGACGGCAGCCATGACGGTGTCCAGTATTTCAGCTGCAGGTAAAAGATCAGACTTTCTGTTGTCAGTCCGTTACTGTCCCTAACCTGCTTGTCCTTCTATTGTGTCTTCCTGCTTCCCCTTTATATTATCAGCCATGGATCTGAAATATTACACTGTTTTTACTACACAAATACATTTTGAGTATTGGGATGAATGAATCAGGTCAGAGGACATAGTCCTAGTTTAACATGTTGTCTCCCGCAGACATCCTAAAGGGGGCTCATTTGTCCGCCCAGCCAAGGCCAATTTTGGGGTGGACTACGTGACCGCAGTGCGACAGGTTTACGACAGTGAAGTGGAGGCGGTGCTGAGTGAGGACGCGGCCATCCCCGTGACATGGACGCCTGTCAAAAACCGAAGGTGAGAGCTTCATTTATACTGATTCAGTAAGATACGATTGTTAGGCTCCACCCACTTACTTCCTGACTACCTTTATGTGTAGCTTACAGAGTTTGACGTCAGTTCTGCTCAACAACGCTGGAGTCAGCGGAGTTGGTTCTGATGGAGAAGTTCGGAAGATGACACCCAGTATCTTTTTAAAAATGATGATGTTGTAGCCTGTTTCCCTCTAGTGCTATCATGCTATCGTGATAGCCTCTCATTTTATTCATTTTCAATGCTAACAGGTTAGCCAGCTAAGGTAGAACAGATCTCTTGATAACTTAATCATTGATGACATCATTATGGCGTCATCACAGCCCCAACCCCTGGGCCCCTCATCTGGATGGCAGTGTAGGTTGTGGGCTGGGCTTCGACAGTTGTTGCCTTAATTTCTGTGACCAGATGTGGAATGGCTGGACCTGAGTCGCAGTTTGATGTCAAGCTGGAAGAACGTCGCAGAAATCTGTGAACAACTGGAGAAACTGGAACGACTGGTGCTGAGGTTTGAGTCTGTGTGTGTGTTTGTGTGTGTAGAAATATGAGCATAACAGGCCATTTAAGATTTCTTCTGCTTGTTTTTTCTGGTTTATTAAGTTTTAACAGGCTGAGTTTGACCTCAGGCCCTTTGGTACACTGCCAGGCTTTCTGTCGCCTCAAAGTCCTGTCACTGATCAGCTGTGACCTCACCTGGCCACAAGTAAAACACAAACACACACACGCCCCTTATCCACACCCTGATGATCACAAACAGTTGTCTTATAATTCTTACCCTAACTCTAAACTGACTCTAATTCTATTTCTAACTCTAAACTAATATTTGTTTGTTTTGGTCTCCGTAAGTATAGCTATACCATGGCTGTTTGTTTAATCTGTTACAGATCCTGGAGTGCGCCCCCATGTGGCCGCAGCTGGAGGAGCTGTATGTTGAAGAGAATAACATAACTGAGCTGCAGAGGTGAAGCTGCTGCTGCTGTTGTTTAAATTGATCTTGTTGTTGTTGTTGTTGACATTAATCTTTATGTTGTATCTTTATGGTCCCAGACCAGAGGGCGTCCTGCAGAACATCCGCTGCCTCAATCTCTCCTCCAACCCCCTACAACAGGAAACACTTCTCTGTCTTTCCACTTTGAACCGGTATTGCTCACTGCTGCCTTCTACAAAAAAGACCTGTTCTTGTCTTCTTCTTAATTTTAATTTTCTTTCTTAATTTTCTTAATTTATTTTTTTTAGACTAGAGCAGCTGAACCTGTCCAACACTGGCTTGTCCATCATTTGCTTTGATGATGTTGCTCCTGGTAACAACAACCACAGAAATACAGACTTAAATCACACGCCATAATATCTGATAACATTCACAAACAGACTGTTGATGTTTTCAGGATGTCAGACGGCCATGTTTCCTGCATTAACAGAACTCAACCTGCACAACAATAACATCTCTGAGGTCAGTGTGTGTTTACACCCCAGGTTAGATAAACGTTGCACAACAATATAGCAAAAATCAATGTACAAAATAACTACAAATCTGCACAAAAAGCTAAAAAGATATAAGGTGTAACATGTTACCCAAAGAATAAATGAAATTACTCAATTTTTTTCAAAAAGAAAATGCTTCTAGTCAGGCATAAATCCACTTAATGTAATAAAGTTACAAAACAAATCAAGTGCCTTTTATAACTTACAGTCATAACCCAACTCTCAGTTTAAATGTCATTCTTTGTGTGTGTGTGTGTGTGTGTGTCTCAGTGGAGTGTAGTTGACGAACTGTCCAAACTCAGCAGTTTGGTTAAGTTGTCGATTCATCACAACCTCCTGGCGACCAAGGACAGGAATCGAAAAACTGCTGATCAGGTTCTCATCGCAAAAATGGGAAGACTGGAGACTCTCAACAACAGCCAGGTACCTGTTCACCTGTGAACAGTAACCCTGGAGACTCTCAACAACAGCCAGGTACTGTTCACCTGTGTGTTCCTGGTACAGTTTATACATGTTTTGTCCAAATGGTCAATATTCAATATTTTATTTTAGTTTGGAGTTAGGAGGAGAATTAGTGTCTGGAGTTAATGTTGCAGTGAGTGACTGTACTAACTATTATGTATGTGAAATACTAAAAAAAACAAACAAAGCCTGTGATGCACACACATGCTTGTGTCAGTGTCAGAGCTAACCAGTTGTTTCCATGGTGTCCATTAGATCCCCCCGCAGGAGAGGAGGGGGGCGGAGCTGGATTACATCAAAATGTTTGGTGAAGAGTGGCTTAAAGCAGGTGGACAGAGTCAGATCAACGACCACTTTGCCTGTCAACATCCACACTACCAGAGCCTCATCCTCAGTGAGTCACATGATCAACCACAGAAGAAACACACACTTCTGGGATTATTATAAAAACAACCCTGTATGAATCCTAGAGAGAAAATGCCATTCCCTGTAATTCTTTTAAAAAGCTACATTGCTGAGATTATTTCAGGAATTGGTAATCCACACTTAGATTATTTTAATAAATTATATGTTTTCAGAGTATGGAGCACCGGAAGAAGGTGAACTGAAGAAGCCATTGCCCTTTGCCCTAAAGAACCAGCTTTTGAGTGAGTCCAGCTCAGTCTACTCTCTGATTGGTCAAGAACATACAGTACATCTAATATTCGCTGATCTTGTCTGTCCTCCTTCGCAGAAATCAAGTTTGTGTTTCCTGATGATGCAGAGAAGATGCCGATTGAGAAGAAACTTCCAGGTAAATACGGGGCTGACGATGCTGTAGATGTTCGTGTCATTTGTTCTTTGGTCTCAGGGTCAGAGTTCATGCAGTTGTCGTCTCTGCAGCTTCGATGATTGTCCAGAAAGTGAAGGGAGTTCTGCACCGACTTGTGAAGATTCCTGTATCTAATCTGAAGCTAAGCTACACCAGCCCCAAGGTATCACACACAGCTACGCTATGAGTTAGCATAGCTACATTAGCTCCAAGATAAAAAAATCTAAAATGCCACCAGCTAATATATAAAACCATGAACATAAGTAACACTGACGTTAGCATACTCCAGTATTACTTAGCGTTACTTCTTGCTAATGTTTTCCTCCCTTTGTTGCAGAAAGCAGGCACAGAGTTTGAGATTGACAGTGACATGAAGACGCTACATTTTTACTCCATAGAGGATGGAGACCAAATCCTGGTCCGCTGGTCCTGACCCAGACTAGGACGTGAGGGACTGAACTCTCTCTGAGTCTGATCTGTTCATCAGTATCTTGCACATTTAACTAAGCATGTATAAAAAAAAGACTTTTCATCACAGCTTCTCTGAACGCCAGGACTCACAGATGGATCTGGGAAAGTTTTTGCATCCCTAATGTGACTTTGCTTTTTTTTTTTTAAACCTTACTAGTCATTTATTTTAAAAAGCGAGTACGAGTTAAAAAAGCCAGTGGTCATAAAAACAGCAGATGGAAATAAATGAATATCATAAATGATCATCAATGTCTTCATAATGAGAGGGAACGTCACAATAAAAGTCCAGATAAATTGACAGCTAAGAGTTATTTTTTATTTATCAACTTTTATTTTGAAATGTTGAGGTTTATCACACCCTCACAATATAAGGCCTGAAACCATGACAAGTCAACAAGAAGATATCTATGAAGGTTCTCAGTCATCGAGGTTACACAGAGGACAACAGGACTAGCCTGGTTCCTTGAAGATGTTTCACTTATGAGTTTGACCTGACTGACTGCTGGAAAACTCTGGTATTTAGCCTCAGAGTGACCTGTGATAAATCAATCTTCCAATGGTCCCTCGATGTGAGACCAACCTCCCATGTGAAGAACTCAACCTCCTTTTACATTATGGCCCAGATGGACACCCTGTCATTAGGTCAGGGTGTGGCCAGGTCCTTTGTTTTGGCAACAACCACTGTCTTTTTTCAGGTGTTGAGCCAATTTCATTGTAAATAGCAAAAGTCTTTTAGCAGGTTTGACGTCATCAATGAGACAGTACAGACGTTCTTTACAGCTTTGGCAAATAAAAATATAAACACACATTAGTTTAACAAACTAACGAGCGTTACGTTCTCGTAACGAATGCCCATTTTCCTACAGATAAAGTCGGCTTTTTCATCTGCGTTGCTAAATAGAAATCGAACGCATTAACTTTCCCACAATGCTGCGGGGCTACGCCGACATTTAAACTTTCCTGTACGATTACAAGTGGAAAGTGTTGCTTATTGACTTCCCAAAAAAATTATAGTCCGCATTTTCGAAAGAAAATGACTGTATTATCGTATTATATGACGTCTACCTTGAAACAGGTAGACGTCAGACCAAAAGACGGAAGACTCGATTCCGTGACAATTTGTTTGATTCAAAATGGCATCACCGGCTCGCTAAATACAAGCAAATGTATCGACCACCAGAACGTAAGTTTTTCACAGTCAGTATTAGTATTTATGTCGGTAATAACAGTGAAATGCTCTGGACATGAACTTTTTAAAGTAGTTTTATTGAAGCTGTACATGTTGAAAATGACCTGTATCTCTTCATTTTCTTTAAATATTTGAAAAATGAAGTGGGTGTTGGTGATGACGTACAGTACCTTGTAGGACTTAACGCCCCTCTTTAGTCCCCCCGCCCAGCCCAAGTCCACAGCGGGCATCGATGAATGAAATAAATTATTGTCTGCATGACAGAGAACTTTTGTTCAGCACTGCTTGACTAGCTTCTCCCTGAAGTTTTCTAAACAAAATTAAAAAAAAAAAAAAAAACCCTGAGCTGAGCAAAGTTGCTCTTTCATTGACTCAAAGTCTGTTGGATGGATTAAATATTAGCTGTGAACCAACACAAAACAACGGATATGAACGAAGACACACAGGAGACACTAGGTCAACCTACGACAAAGGTCGGACAGGTGACACTTTAAAGCTGTCAGAGTATCTAACTTCAGTTCAAGTAGTTATTTACAAGTTCATAAAAAAACATAACTGCATTCTCAGTGTTGTGTTTTGTTAGCGACCTGGTTTCATAGAATTCTTTTTTGGCAAAACGATCCAGAACATTTGCATAAAATCTCTGTATACATACTTGTTTCGTAATGTTGTGAAATGTTAACTGACTTTTTTCTGGGGAGTATAATGAGAATATTAAGATTTTAAATTAAAATTTGTCATACATGTGATCACAAGACAAAGAGTAATCATTGTGGTAAGTGTGGCATAAACGTAATAAACACAAAAAACACAATTTTTCAGTTCAAGTAAAAAAATAGTAAAAAAAAAAGATTTCAGTTTTGTGTTTTTTTTTCTTCTCTCTCTCTCTTTATGCTTCAGATTCTCACGCGTTTCCCTCCACACACTGTCCGTCAGCAGCAGCCGCGTCAGGGCAGCGGCAGCTGAAGCCGCCGACTCGTGGCAGACACAGGTGAGAGCAGCCGCCATTGTTAAGGCAGTAGTTGTAGGCTGAAAGGGAAGAAATTATTTTCAGGTCATTAAGAAAATCTGTAGAGAATTTCAACAATTGTTGTTGCATTGCTGTCTTCATCAGTGAGTTTACTTTTCTTTCTTTTTGTCATTTGAGAGTTTAAATTACTTTGTTCTGATCATATGGAACATTACTGTTATGGACCTTTGTGTGAAAGACCCAAACCTAATACCATCCATGTCTGCTGTTAGATGCTAACAACTTTAACCACAACATTACCTTTGGTGCTAAACAGACTTTTCAAACAGAAAAGTGCACTATGTAATGTATGGTGATGGTTGACAAACACTACCAGTACATTGAAACGGAAAACATATTTAAATAATTCCTTAGTTACTTCCTGTGTGTAATTCCTCTGGAATGAACTTGTTTCCCTGAGGTCTAGATGTCTATATCAAGTCAGGGACTTTTTTACACTGGTGGAAACATCCCATTATCCCTGGCCATGGTACTGTATGTGTATAAGTGTGTGAAAACATTAGCAGCAGGTGAGCTGTAGACTGTGCCAAGAGCGTGTACAGCTGTTTCCCAGAGGCCTCTTTAACACAGCGTTCCCACGGTTTCCCACCCCTGAATCAATTAAGGACACAGAGAGAGAACACATGTGCAGCTCTGGATCTGGGCCAGGACATAACAGACTCCAGGTCCTGAGCTGATGTCCTCTGTTCTGAAAGGACATGTTGACACAGAACTATCACCAAATCAACCGCGAGACTCCATAAAACTCCTGTGTCGGTTGTCTGCGCCTGTGTCTGTTGTAGGGCTGCTCCGTGGTACGTCTGTCTTTGGCTGACTAATATTTGTTTTATAAATAAATTATCTTATTATATACTGTGGTTAGACTAGACAGGGTCGGTCTGTCCTGCTGTAAAATAGTGATGGTCATGTTGATGGCACTTATAAAGACTTTAGTTTTTAGTTCTAAATTCTTCATTACTTACCCAGGTTGTCTAAAGCAGAACAGCTTTTCCCTTAGGAAGAAGTTGACTGTATTTTGACCTTCACCTCATAGCCCTTTTCATATCTTCTACTGTATCTGTTTCGCTAACTTTCAGCTCGACCTTCATCCTCTTTACTCCACCCTTGACTTCTGCAGTATTTAAGGACATTAACATGAAACGGTTTGCACCTTGTGGACAGTGTGTGGTCGTGGTTGTGATGCCGTAGAGCCGCGAGCGCATCTGTGGCAGAAACTCCTCCGTCTCTGTCTGAGAGGTACGATCCACAGCAACCACTGCTTCCCTGCAAATTACAGACAAATACTTAAATGTCTGTATGTAAGAGTGTGTGCGTGTGGGGCACACGCGTGTGTGTGTGTGTGTGTGTGTACCTCCTCCAGTCAGTGTAGTACAGTTTTCGTCCAAAGGAAACCACAGCAAAGGGATACTGGATCCCATCAACAATCCGCTTCCTCTGGCGGCGATGAGGATCGATACACTCCACCACACGAGTTCCTGTCAACCAATCAGAATGTGAGGAAGAGTGGGGCTGTTATACAGATACACCTTAATACCTTAGATCAACTACTGCCTTATAAAATACATTTTAGAAATTGTACTTTGTTCAAAGTTAGTCAAATTGGCCACAAGAGGGAGCAGTGGAGCTTGACGCAATTATATCTAAATCAAGGACTTCAAACAGTTACAAATGGACTTTGTCAATGGACTATGGTTCAGTGTGGTGAACGATTATTAAAAATGTTAGAAAGTCTGTTTGACACTGAGGTGTGGCTGGAGTCTGGAGTTGCTACAGCTACTTTCTGCATTAAGGACCAGCAGGGGGCGATAAATGATTGTTCAAGGACTTTAGTTCAGGTCTTTCCTCACCTGCGTCTGCCCAGCACAGCTGCTGGCTGTCGGTGTCAAACGTCAGACCATTTGGGAGGCCCAAGTCATCCTTTACCAGGACTGTACGATCTGTACCGTCCATATTGGACATCTCAATTTTGGGTCCATCTCTGTCCCAGTCGGCCCAGTACAGTTTCCTGGAACCAACAGAACCAAAAGGGGTCCAGATCAGAAAAGTTTGAAAAGCTGGTAAATCGGTTCACCCATTCTCAACACTCACCCATATGTAGGGTCAGTGACAATGGGGCGGGGGTTAACCAAGTCAGAGTCGAACAGGACACGTCGATGGCTGCCGTCTAGTCTGGACACCTCGACGGTGTCTCGCATGGAATCAGTCCAAAAGAGGAGACGGGACACGTAGTCGATTGCCAGGCCTTCAGGACTCTGCAGTTCTGGGGACATGGATAAAACACATAGTAGTGTAGTGAGAAAAGTGTTTGAGGTTTGGAGTTTTATCGTTAAATAATCATTTTTAAAGATGATGAAGTTTTCTTATGTCATTACTACAGTTTGTAGCAGTTGTAGTACCTTTAGTCACCACTGGGATGACGTCTCCTCCACTCATGCTGGCTTTGCTGATGGCGGGTCCAGTAATATCTGTCCAGTAAACCATCTTGTCCACACAGTCGTAGGCCAACGCGATGACCACTCGGTCCTGAAGGACAAAAGACTTCATTCATGTGGACGATTTTCAAAGAGTCTTTTGTCTGGAACTAACTTATACAGAGGAAAAAAAAACTGATTCATAAAAAGTACTTCTTCACAGTTTCACAGCAAAAAGCTGAAAGGGCGATAAAAATGTTTTTTGTTATAAAAGGTCCCTCAATTTAACTATTAATTTTGTCCAGTTTCATTTAACTACAAAATTTGTAGTATCCGTTTCTCCAAACAACCACATAGTTTTTAAAGTAAAAGTGTCATCACTAAACATAATTTTAGAAAAAAAAAGTTACTTTATACTATAGTTACTCTATAAGTTTCTTTGGATCCACAATAAAACCGAAGTGCACACTAAAACACTTCCTATATATTCCTCGTATATGGATTTAAACCCAGCTTGTCCTGTTTGCAGAACCACTGTTGTGTTGTTGTGTTGGCCTCACAGGGACGTGCAGCAGAGGTTTGGCCTCCTCTTTCTTCATGCTGTATCCGTCCAAAGGAACATGATGGATTCTGCCGCTCTGGGCAAATAGAAGGTGAGCTCCTGGAGCCACAGGTTTGATGGCGGGCCGTGGCGTTGGCCCCACAGGGGCCGGTGTCACTGCCTGGTTTATACCTGAGAAGAAAGACAGGACTTCATTCAAACCTAAGTTCAGCGTGAACTCATGGTTTAGTCCTGGATGTTGGACTTACACAGAGGTGGGCTTTCAGATCCAGTACGTGTGTCGGGGACTTCCTGACCATTTGCGTCCACACACCAGCACTGACCGATGCTGGTGTGACACTGGGTGGGCTCAAAGGCACCGTATTGGTCACACTGTGGGATGAACTGATTAATGATTGGTCGAGGACGGAAGAAGGAGAAGAAGCCAGAGGATTCGGGTTTGAAACTCTGAGCGTTGTCTCTCTCGCTCTCACACTGAGTCTTCTCTCGCTCTGAAACGACAACAGAAACCAAAAGTTGACGTCACTCTCAGATTTATGGTCCAAAATAGAAGAAAATGTGATGCATTGATAACTTTACTGTTAGTCCATTGAAACCAACTTAAACAATTTAATGTTATATAATAATATAATAATATATATAGATAGATAGATAGATAATCATAATATAATAATATATATAGATAGATAGCTAATCAATCTGCCTTAAAGTAACTATATTTAACCCAGAATACAGGAAAATAATGTACCATCACAAAAATTAAAAATAATAATCACAAATTACTTAAAGTTATCCCAGAAATAGCTGGTTTAAGGGATATATATAAAAGAAGGGAAAAAGCCAAAATATATAATTATCTAAACATAATCTAATTATACCTAATTATTTAATTATTATCTAATTATATTTAAAACAATTTTATAAAACTGAGCTGCTAAAAGTCTTTTTGCCTGGCATCTCACTAAAAGTAGTAAAAGTCAGCTTCTGTGTCTTTGGCTTGTTGAAGCAACAGGGGGCGCTCACATAGTTGTCAGCACCTCACACCACCAGCACATGAAGCCAAACTGTCTCTGTGACAGTGTTTGCAGTAAATCAAATATGGTTTTTCTCCGTGTTCCAATGTTTTGACTCGGTGACCCTGACTTTGCTCGTCCTGTTTGGAGTCCTCTAGTTGTTGTCATTGTTGTTGATGTTGGATGTCAGTGGTTTTGGCGTCGCCTTGGCTCTGCACACTCCTCCAGTGATTCCAGGTGTCGGGAGCTGAACGCTGCTGCCACATAATTACAGCTTTGCCACGGGTTTGTCATATTTTCCTGCTTTTTATGAGCCTGAAAGGCATCATTTACTGTCCAATGCTGTCACCGTGCCTGTAAACAGGAACGCCTCCTTTTGTCTCCGCCACTCTTTCATCTTTGCCCCCATCTCAGGGGGTCTACTTTAGCTTTGTTCTTTGTCAGCACGCTCTTGTTGTTGTACGGGGCAGTTTTGTTGTGGCTGGTCTCTGCATCGTGTCTCAGAAACAACAGATGTTCGTGAGGATAAGAGTGCGAGGACATGGTGGACACTCCTGCAGATGTGACCGCAGACATGAAGAGCCTCCTGCTCCTGTCTTTAATCTGTGCCTCCCTCCACCAGCTACGAAACATCACCGGCTCGTCTCACAGGGAACTGAAGTTTCCTTTAGATCACAGAACGCACCAGTGCGTGGCCTGCTGCCTCCACTGACAGGTTATTGTGTTTATTATTGCATAAGTAATAGGTCACACAAACTGACCAATGAGCTGGAGACCTGTGTCCATGTGACATGAAGTTTTCAGTTTTCCTTCAGCGAGGGAGATCAGTGATTTTATGACCTTTGTTTTTTGTTGGAAATGTTTGTGTAGTAACAGAATAAGTAGTTGAATTGTTTAGATTGTAAATAATATAGACTTTATGGGCTGTCTTTAGCCTAGCAGCAGGGGGCGCTCAGAGCCCAGCTCACATCGTGCCATCACATAACATTGTGCTCTACATTATCTCGTTAATTGTGACTAGTGGTTTGTGGCCCTGAACTCAGTGCGTCATCAAGTGTTTGTTGAGTCTGATCTGGAATCTGTTTTGGTTTGTCTGATTCAACTGTCGCCAACGTGTTTGACACTTAAAGATGCCGTCAGTGATTCATGTGATCCCAAATCTGGGTTCACTCGTAAAACATTGAGACAAATGAGTTTTAGTCTATAATGTTTTGAAGCTGAGCTGTAAACACAAACTATAGGTCAAAACTTACTTGGCTGTTTGTGCTGTACCTTCATCAACCTTCAACAGTAAGTTAAGGAAAGGCTTAATAGCTACAGGATCGTTCTTAGCAGAGAAATCGTTAAATTTAGGTCAGAAACAGGCAAAACTAGTCCAAGAATAAACCAGTTTAACTGAGGAATAGGTAAATGCTGCAAAAAAAAAAGTCTAAATGGATTAACTCTACTTAAAAGATGACCTCGTGAGGGGAAGGAGTGTAAACCAAGGCCACTGACAGGAAGCCAGTCAAAACATCACTAAGAACAGTCACAGTTTATGACACACACACCTGTGGGGACAGGGTTACATTGGACTCCGTCGCCCTCGAACCCGGGGCCACACTGACAGCTGTAGGAGCCTAGAGTGTTAGAGCAGAAGGCGTCACGGTGGCAGCGGTCCTGCTGACACTCGTCCACATCTGAAGAGTCACAAACAACCAAAAACAAAGTAAATGACGTGGGAAAATATATCTTTGGTTGATACATTCAGTTAAGTCTGTTTTCCGCTAATCCTAGAAAAAAAATAGAAGAAAATAGAACCTCCTCCAGGCCAAAGGTTTCTCCCAACATAACTTCCATTTACCTCGACAGACACGGCCATCGCCCTCAAAGCCTGGCAGACAGGAGCAGACGAAGGCTGAGCCTCCAGTGTAGCTGCACACAGCTCGCTCTGGAACGTCACAGTTGTGACTTCCTTTCTGACAGTGATCCACGGGACTGACTGTCTCTGCAGAAACCAGAAAATCAAGTGTTTGGATTATCGCAAAAAATATATATTAAAAGTAAACACAGAGATATGATGATTACCACAGAGAAGTACCAGGAGAAAATGCTAATCATTTTCCTCTTTATTACCATAGCAGTAGTATCCGTCTCCAGTGAAACCAGCGGCACATTCACATGTAAACTGCAGGCCCTCACCAGCCCTGCACACTGCGTTGATGTCACAGCCGTGGTGGCCTGTAAAACACGGGTTCGATTCCTCAACCCCACCTGTCAAAACGGAATATAAATAAATGAGTTACCACAAGAGTGAACCTTTATGGTGCTGTATGTAGTGGTTAGCACGCCTGCTGTAGAAGCAGAGAGGCCTGGGTTCGATTCCCAGAATGAAGTTAATACAGTTTTCTTTTTACATCAGACAAAGGTTGTTCACTGCTATGCTGGGGTTGGATTGTGAACCTTTAACATACTTCCAGTATGGTTCTCCAACAAAGTCCTAGTACGCGTTAGGAGCCGGATTTAGAAAGGCCCTTGAC